CGGAGCGGAGAAAGCGCAGCAGAGGGGAGAGGATCCGCGATGCAAGGAACAGAAGGGAGGCTTGAAAAAAAAATATTACTATTATTATGAATCGATGCGTTTTGCATGGCTGAGCCCCCCTCCTCCCCCCCGGGGCCCACTCCCCCCCCCTTCCCCCCCCCCCCCCACTCCCCCCTCCCCGCGCCCACCCCCCTGCCCTCGCCCGCCACGCGCCCCGTCCGAGCCCTCTCCGCCCTCGCACAGGTGAAGAAAAGGGGGAAATCTAATCAGATGGAAGCAGGAAGCTTCCATCCCGGCCGTGGTTCGAATCCACATGAGCCGATGGGTGAAAGGGAAGACCCGCCCGAGGTCTGAAGCTCACCCATTGAGGAAGTGAGGAACTGCTCGGCCCACCCTGATCCTGCTGAACAAGCTCCTCTTGTAGCTCGATCGGTCACACCGCCATCGCCGTCGGGGAGAGGGGGGACGACACTGCCTCGGCAGCGTGCACCTCGATCCTGTACCGTGTTTGTTATGACCCCCCCCCAATGAACACACCAGTGAGGGAGGGCGAGACGATCGAGGGGTCCCGTACCATGCGGAACCGACCCTAGAGCTCTATCCAGTGCTCAAGTGCCCTCAAGCTATGCCCGTGGCCAAATCCCCCCTCTCGGCCGCCTTCCGTGTCGGCGGCGTGCCCGTGCTCGGCTTCCTGATCCACACGCACGACGGGTTCCGCTTCGGCGAGGCTGAGCTGATCTATGGCCCGCCCTCCACGTGCAAGCAGCTGGGCGTGCGCCGGCCGCTCAAGGACTGCGTCGTCGCCGCCTACGACTGCCTCTTTGGCGACGTGCAGCCGGCGCTCACCTCTCTCGAGGTCTGTCTCGCTGAGCCGCTGCCCGAGGATCTGCTCGAGGGCAAGCGGGAAGGCGGCCGCAAGGCATTCACGGTGTTCCACACGCGCGGCGAGAGGCACGTCGTGACATTCTCGCCCAAGCTGGGCACGCGCGAGGTGGTGTGCCTGGGAGAGGCATCGTGGCGCATGCAGCCGATCTCGCGCGTGCACTGGTACTCGATCGGCCAGCTCCGGCCCTGGTTTGCCGCGCCGCTCCCGGCCACCGAGTGCGAGCGGCGCATCGCCGCGTACTTTGAGACAAGTGAGCACCGCGAGTTCCGCACCGCAAACAAGACCGACGCCACGCTCTGGCAGGAGGCCGACGGCTCCGCGAAGCTTCTCGGAAGCACGGACAAGCGGCCCAAGGCGGCGTGGCGGATCTGGGGGCTGCGAGGCTACTGGCTGCTCCCGGACGGCGGCGCGCGCGATCGCGACGGCAGCCTCGTGCCCGAGGCCAGCCTGGCGCAGATCGCAAAGGAGGAGCTGCTGCCGTGGCCCGGCGCCGCCCTCGACTGGCGGCCCTCGGAGGCGGACGCGGAGTGCTTGTTCCGCCCCCTCGACCAGGACACGACGTCGGCGCTCGTGCGGCTGCAGCGGGCTCTCCGCACCTCGCCTCACCTCTTTAGCAAAGTGCTCGCGAGCAAAGTGGACCTCCGCCTCGGGCGCGTGGTGTGGCTCCTCACGAGGGCGGGCCCCCGGCTGGCGCTGATCCTCGGCCACGCGCCGTGGAGCGGCGGCTCGGAGAAGAGCGGGCTGCTGCTGAAGGCGCTCCCGACGACGTCCGATTGGTCCGGCGGCGCGCTGCCGGTGCTCCCAGAGGCGGCGCAGCTGAGCGCGGACATCATCGCGCCCGCCGCTCACGTGCAGCCGTTTCCTGCGCTGCTGAACCTGGAGTGCTGCCGGCCGAGCCGCCGCAAGAGGCGGCGGCCGCCAGAGGAGATTGACGCCGCGCCAGAGGGGAAGCGGTTCCCCGGCGCCCCTCTCCCGGATGCCCCGCGGCAGGCGGGGCTCGAGGGGGAGGACGCGAAGCAGCTGCTCGCGGAGCGCGACCTCGCATTCGTGGCGCCGCGAGGCGGAGAGGCGCCGCCCTCGGCCGTCACGGAGCCCTACGAGCCCGGGCGGGGGGCGGTGGTCGGAGAGGACGTGAGCGGGGAGCCTCCGGGCTCGGCGGAGGGGGAGGGCGCGCTGGGCAAGCGCAAGGCGGTGGCGAGCAGTTCGGGCGCGGCCGCAAAGGGCCCATGGCGAGAGGAGGAGGAGCCTGTGCGGCTGCTGCGGCCGAGCGAGGTGCCCGAGCGGCGCGGCGAGGTGCTGGAGGCGCTGCGGCGCGTGCTGCGGCTCGTGAAGCAGGACCCGGAGGAGTTCTGGGGCAAGCAGCGGCCAGGCGAGCCCTTTCCCTTCCCGGAGCTGCTGCCGGCTATGAGGGCCGAGCAGGTAGCGCTTAAGGCGGGAGCGTCGTCCTCAATGGTGAGGTAGAGAGATGCGGAGCTAGATGTGGAGACCGCGCGGGGAGCTCCGGGTGTGGAGTGCCGAGTGGAGTCGTCTGGATCTCTCTGAGTTTCTGAGACCAAAACACGGTTCACGGTAAAAAACATGCGACGGTGAAAAAACATGGGGAGGCTCCAAACCCTGGGTGGCAGAGAGCGCCGGGGCGCACGCACACACTAAACTCTACACACACGTACACGGCTTTACACATTGTAGACACGGCTCGCCGAGCGCTCGCGGCAGCCCCGCGCGCCAGGCCGCCAGCGGTTTCAACCACGCCTGTCACTCTACAACCACGGCGCAAAGTCGCCCTCGAACTCCTCAAAGTCGCGCTGGCGCGCCGCACCGTCCGGGCCATAAGAGCCGAGCCTGATCTGGGCCCGCTCTAGCCAGCCGTAGAGAAGGGGGCGGCAGCGCTTGTAGGCCAGAGCCCCGTCCACCGCCTCGTACCAGCGCTGCAGGTCGCGCATCCTCTTGGGCGAGAGGCGGAGGACGGTGGTGGCGGGCGGAAAGGCGTGCGCGCTGATGGTGGCGGTGGTTGGCACAGTGACGCAGGTGAGGCAGTGGCTGTTGGCGAAGGCGTAGTCGCCGATGGAGGTGAGGGTGGCGGGGAAGGTGACGCGGGCGAGGGAGGAGCAGCGGGCGAAGGCGTACTTTTCGATGGACTCGAGGCCGTCGAGGATGTTGACGGAGACCAGGCTGGAGCACTGCGAAAAGCAGCCGATGGAAGCCTTGCCGGCACGGAAGGTGACGCTGTTTATGGAGGCACAGCTGCAGAAGGCGTAGATCCCGAGCGAGCGCACTGTGCGCGGGAGGCTGATGTCGGTGAGGGAGGAGCAGCCCGAGAATGCTGCGTCCCCGATGATCTCCAGACGTTGTGGTAGCTTGATTGAAACGAGCGAGGAGCAGCCGCAGAAGGCGTCGTCGCCGATGGAGACGAGGCTGCGCGGGCAGGCGACCGAGACGAGAGAGGTGCGGCCCTGGAACGCCTCATCTGGCAGGCGCGTCATGCCTTTGGGCAGCACCGCGTGCTCGTCGGTGATGATGATGACGTGCCCGTCGGTGAAGACGTGCCAGTCCATGCTTTTTACCATGCTTTGATCGGCGAGCAGCGGCATAGACGGTTTTCTGGCGGCACAGAAAAAAGGGAAAAAAAATACGCGACAATGGCGGACGCCCAAGGGTGGGCGACGGCTAGCGCACCACACCCCTCTCCATAAAATACGTGGCAGTTCCCTTGCTCCAAGCGCTTTTGCGCTTCGTTCGGCGGTAGTGATCTGATCACCCGAATGCCATGTTCGGATCGCTCCTCATCGCAAACCCTGTCAGCAGTTCACCTACGGGTATGTTCGTAAGAGCCACACAAGTACGAACACTGAGCGAACTCTCTTTTCTCCTAAAAAAGTGGTAGCACACGAACAAGTTTGCAAACACGGCCAACCTAAGCATGGTGCTCACCACGGAAGCCTGCGCCCTGCGCCTCGTGCTCTTGGTACTCGCTGCAAGCACTGGCTCAGAGTCCTCGTGCACCACGCCCGTGCGCGACGACGCAAGAGAAGCGAACCAAAAAAGTTCCCGCTGTGGTGGCATCCTGCCGGCAATCGGGTATCCGACGGCATGACTTGCGAGTCGAGCTCGCGGAACGCGACGGCAGTCGATCCCCCATGGCCCGGCAGTGGCAGCATCACCGGTCGTGGTTGCCACCATGGACCAGCTGCTCAGTCCTGACTGGCGGACCTGCCTCTATGTGCGCACCACTGAGTATGCGAGCCCGTTGAAATCGCCTCGCACAAGGGTGCTCGCCTTCGTGTATACGGCGCGGCGGTTGTGCAGCAGCGCATAATCAGCTATACGGGTCAGTAGTACGCACCCTCAGAGGGCAGTACACAACTGGAGGGTAGTACACAGCCAGCGCAGGATGGCACACAGCCATCCTGCTAGGGTGCAGGCGGAACGCGACCTGGGCGGTACGCACCCCCAAGGGCATTGTGGGGCGTTGCGGGGAAAGGCTGTCCTGAAGCGAAAGGCTGTCCTGAAGCGGGAGGCTGCCTTGTTAAACTCGTTGAAGTCGTCGTGGGCTTTGGCAGCGGTTGTGGTGTGGTAGCGGTGGAGCGAGACTCGAGAGGGTCCGGCGTCCGGGCCGCGGCGCCTTTGCTGCCTTAGAGTTGCGTAGACAGGTGGGGGAGTAGGTAGGCTGTTGGGCTAGTCGTAGTGCGCTCAGGCATAACAGGCGCACAACACCTCCGGGTGCTGGGCCATCTGGGACTGGTCGAGCGTGCTGCGGCTTTCCTCACCACCTCCCTCTCCTCCCGAAACAATTTTTTTTACACAACAGAAACTGCGGGAGGCGCCCCAGTAAAGGGTGTGCGGTGGACCGCGGCCATGTGTTGAGAGAAATCGGGGGACGCGACCCACTTCGCCACAGACGGTCCCGCGCCTCGCCGCTATGACGGCTACATGCAGCCGCTTTGCGCCTGAAGCCTGGAGAGTAGCTCCTCTGCTGCTCACACGCTCTACACAGTTGATACAGCCTACTGTGCGGCTGCCACAGCTGTGACAGCGATGGGCTCGCCCTCACTGGCCTTGTGCTGCGGCTTGTGTGAGCGACACTGCGCGGCGACTGCCGGCACACTGTGATACCATGGGTGTGAGGTCAAACCACGCTACCAGCGCTTGGTCACATCAGCCCTGAGGTCAGATCCTTCTACTCTGTTGATGACAAGACTTGTCTACTCGCTGGAGCCGAGCAGGAGGGCCCAGCCGCTCTCAAATTCTTTTTCCCTCCTCTCTCGCGCCACTCTCTGCGCCCGCGTCACAAGCTTGTCCCTCCGCCTACGAACCCACACACGTGCGCCGCTGCCCTCGCCTCCACGCGAAGCACCACGCCGCCGCGTCACCACTCGCTTCATCACGCCGCCTCGCCGAGCGCAGGCGTCTCGGCATGCCGCCTGCGAGCCCCACCGACTCCGCGGACTCCTGGCCCGCAGCCGCGGCGCGCCTTCCCACCCCCCGCTTGCGTTCATGAGACTCCGTTTATCGGATCCTCAATGTGTGATGGGGGGGTAGCGATGGCCACGACACTCCTCCGGTCGGCGCCCAAGGGGGGGTTGTGGTATGTCGCTCCCCGCGCTCTCACCGCCCTTTCTCCCGCCTGTAGAACAAGGCGGCCGGATGCTGCGTTGACACGGCGCGGCTGCGGCTGACAACCTTCTTCTTCTGGGTGATATCCGTGGAGTGCGAGCCGCACGTCTGCGCGGACGAGCGGGAGTGGCGACGCTACCTCGGCATCGCCCACACACCCGGCGCGGCGCGCCCCGCCGACGACGCCACAAAGGAGATCGAGGCAAAGGCGCGCGAGATCGCCGCGCAGCAAAACGAGATCAAGCACCCGGACGGCGCCTTCGCCTTCCTCATCGCCGCCCTCTACCTCTTCTTCAAGATGTTCCGCCTCACGCCCGCCATCAAACTGTGGTACGCGCTGTTCGTGCCATCTCTTGCCGCGCCCTGCTGCCCCCGCTGCGGCCCCGCCGCTCACGCCTCACCGCGTCGGGTGTACAGGCGGCATCCAGCACGTGCTCTCGCCGTCGGGCACGCAGCCATCCGCATCCTCCTCCGCATCCTCCTCCGCGCCGACATCGCCGTCGACCTGGTGCCAAAGGAGGCGGCGCGCGAGGGCGTGCGTGCCGCGCTGGCGAGCGGCCTCGCCATCTTTGTCGCCGCGGGCATCTTTGTCCGCGACGACGGCGCGCACCGCGGCAGCGGCGTGCGGATGGCACCCGCCCACTCACCTCACCCACTCGCTTATAGGCGGAAAGCACCGCATCGCGACCGAGGAGGACAACGGCCCGCTCGCGCCGCTGCTCCAGGTGGCGCGCACCAACGGCAAGCTGCCCAGCGGCGCGAGCGACGAGCGGCTCATGGCGCACGTCATCTACGTGGCCCTCTCCTTCTCCCTCGCGCGGAGCATCATCCCGGCCGAGTGGTGCGCCGCCGGCTGCAGCTACGGCGCGCCCTTTCTTTGCGCGCTTCCCCTCCTCCCCCCCCCTCCCCCTCTCATGAAAGGTACTCACCGTAGGCTCTGGCGCCACCGACGGGCGCGCGCGCGACGGCTCGGCGCTCACCGTCGAGAGCGAGCGCGGCGAGTCGAACGCTTGCCTCGAGGAGCGCCTCGAGTCGGCCGATGCGCGCGCGAATTTCGCGCGCGTGTTCGACTACTTGCGCGTGCACAGCGGCCAGCGCTTCAGCCTCCGCCTCGTCATGAACCACGCGGCGATCGACGGCAAGGTCTCGGCGCGCGACTTCTCCAACATCAGCTGGGCGGACAAGGAGCAGATGGAGGAGTTTGTCAGCGAGGCGCGCGGAGCAGGCGAGGCCGCCACGTGTCGGGCGCTGACTCACCGCCTCCTCGTGTCCCACAGGTGCTCTGCGAGGAGCTGTGGCGCGGGATCCGCTGCCCGCAGTCGGACGACGAGCGGGAGGAGATGAAGAAGCTGATGGGGAAGAACGCGTGGAGCCGCCTCGCCGAAGGCGGCTCGGTGCCGCTCCCCCACTTTGCTGCAAAGAGCTCCCTCCCCTACCCGCCCGCTCACCCTCCGTACCCGCACCCGCTCCGGATGCAGCCTCTCCTCGTCGGCGTCGAGATCTACATCATCTTTTTGGACGGCAGCAAGGAGCTGGCCGCGCTGCTCGAAGAGGTGGGCTCGCCGGTGCGCGGCGTGACGCCGCTCGGCTTGCGGGAGGTCGCGGAGGGCAGCCTCGGTGCGTGCCCCGGCCTCCCCAATCAGCGGCCAGGTGAGATTGCGATCTCAGGCCTGTTTTTCTGCCGCAGTCGACACCAAGCTGTGCGAGATGATGCCGCAGCGGGGGACGCTGCTGCACGTCCCGCCCGACGCGGGCTCCCTCCGCAAGGGCCTCGAGCGCGCGTGCGGGCGGGCGTACGACGACATGCGCAAGGCGAGCGCGATCGCCGCGCGCTCGACCGAGGGTCGATTTTGTAGGCTAGGCGCTCCTGCGAGCGTACACACGCTGAGAGTACTCCACCTCCACCTAGCAGGCGTGCGGCGCTCCTCGGCGCTCGTCATGCTCGAGGCGCACGTCAAGCAGGTGGCGCTCTACCTCGAGCAGTACAATGCGCTGCTGCGCTCTGACGGTTCCAGCGCTCTTGCGGCGCTCGACCCGGCGCTCAAGGCGGCGACGCGCGTCGCCTCGTGGAGGCCGCACCACGCTTTCTGCCGCTACCTCTCTTCAATACATCTTAGCACTGCCGCAACCCGCCCTAGGTCGGGCGTGTGCAAGGCGGTGGCGGCCGCGGCGGGGAGGGGAGGGGAGGCGGCGGCGGCGGCGGCGGCCGCGCGCTGCGCGGCGCTCGGCCGGAAGCTGTCTGACGCCGCCGTCGGCAAGGCCGAGGCGGCGGCGGGCTTGGAGGCGCGACTGGGCGGGACGCACGCGCAGGCGGTGGAGGCCGGCGCGGCAGCGGTGGCCGGCGCGCCGGTGGCCACGAAGGCCGAGCTGGAGGCGCGCGAGGCGGAGCGCTCCGCGGCGGCGGCGGAGCTCTGCACGGCGCTCGTCGGCTCGCCGAAGCTCGAGCCGCTGGAGGCTGCCGTCGGCCGCGCCAAGAAGGCGGCCGTGGCGGACGCGCCGCTGCTCGAGCGCGCGGCGGCGGAGCTCGCGACGCTGCGCGAGGCGGAGCGCTCCGCGGCGGAGGCGGAGCGCTCCGCGGCGGAGGCGGAGCGCTCCGCGGCGGAGGCGGAGCGCTCCGCGGCGGCGGCGGAGCTCTGCACGGCGCTCGTCGGCTCGCCGAAGCTCGAGCCGCTGGAGGCTGCCGTCGGCCGCGCCAAGAAGGCGGGCGTGGCGGACGCGGAGCTGCTCAAGCGCGCGGCGGCGGAGCTCGCGACGCTGCGCGAGGAGGCTGCGGGGCTGGTCGCGTCTTACCGCGCCCGCTCCTCGAAGCGGCCGCAGGTGGACAGCAGCGAGCCTCCAGCAAAGCGGCCAGGCCACCGACGGACGGAGGCCGCCGCGGCGGAGCTGCTGCGGCTCGAGGCCGAGGCCGATTGCGGCAGCCTCGGCAAGGTCGAGCAGGCGAAGCTAACCAAGATGCAGCGCGACGCCCAGCGAAGCCAGTTGAGAAAGCAGCGGGAGGACGAGGCGCACGAGAAGGCCGTGACGCTGGCAATCAAAAATTGCCCCGCCTTCTGGAATGGCCGTCGATACCAGCACGACACGGCCATTCCAGGCACGGATGGCGACACGCCACGCAAGCGTGTTCTGCGGCTGCGTGATGAGCGCAGGGCGAGGAGCTTGCCCTTCTCCGCGGCCACGCTCCTGGCAGCCGACCCGACTCTCATGAAGGCGACAGCACCGCGCGCCTAGCCTGGTGTTCTACCCTTATTGCACTTACAACCACTGCCCGTGCCCAGGATTTGGGCCTTGTGCAGAGAGTCGTCGCAAGGCTCCTTCGACCTTGGAAGAAGAAGGAGGGCAAGGCGAAGGCATGAAGGATGGAGCGCACCACGCGCGGCCAGTTGCAGGGCAAGCGCTGGAGAGGAGACTATTCTCGCCGCCTCGCCCACGTGGAGGGCCGCTCGCGCACGCCGCGCGTGCGAGCGAGCGAGCGAGAGAGAGAGTGTGTGTGAGCACACGCGCGCTTGGAACAGACTCCGCCCATATCACCCCATGCGCCGTGGTGGACACGGTGGGACGAGCGGGGCACAGAGCCATGGGTTGTGGTACTTTACAGACTGAGTCGCAGAGGAGACGCGCTTCTCCGGCTAGACTTCGTCGAGAAGAAATAAAACAAAAGAACTCTCTCACACAACGGCAGCCCGTGCCAGGGAGAGCCTAGCGAACGTATCAGTTTAACACCGTATTTAGCGCGTGTTAGGGGCCCTTAACCCAGGGCGGTTTAGCGTTGTCTACCCTGAACGGTCACTAAACGCGCCTAAACGGAGTTGATCCGGCCTGCGGCCGCCATTTGTCGGGCTGGACTAGTCCTGTTTAGTCGTCGTTTAGTCCGACGATCGGCCGTTTAGCCCCGGATGCCGGGGGTGTTGTGTGTTCGATTGTAAAAAATCGGCCATTTGGCGCCCAGGGGCCGCACCCGGCCGCCGCCCGCGCGCACAAAAAAATACTCCTCCACCCCGGACGCCCCCAGAAAACAACATACTAGCCCCACAAGCGTCACGAGTTTACGAGAGTACTCAAACTAAATTCCTGGAGTGCCCGGCCGCGCCGGCAGCAGGCCGCCGTACGCGTGCGGAAAACGAGCCGCCGCCGCCGATCGCTCTCGAAGAGCGTGGCGCAGCTGCCCATTCCCGGTGACCATAGCACATGTTGAGTCGCCAGGGCCTCACCTGAAGGGGGGCGGGGCAGGGGCGAGGGGATGAGGACGAAACCAAGCGTCCGGGGCCCTGCCGGAAGGTGGTGGGCGAGGCGTGGACGCACCTAAAATACGAGCAAGGTGGGTGAGACGGAGGGCGGCGGCAGCAACGGCGAGACGCGGACGGCGGCGGTGGCGAGGGGGAGGCGGACGGCGGAGGCGGTGACGGCGACGCGGACAGCGGCGGCGGCGGCGGTCGACGGGGAGGGAGGCGGCGGCGACGCGGAGGGAGGCGGCGGCGAC